GGCCCCGGGGGCGGCGGGGAGGGGAGCCCGTGCCCCGTGCGACCGGTCCCGCTGCCGCCAGGGCGTCGTCGTCGTTCCCCTTCCCTCGCAGTAACTTGGAAGCACCGCGGGTAGTATCGCAGAGCTCTCGGGGAGGGTTGGCAGGAGAGAAGAAAAGTAAAAGGCGGGTTCGGTGTTAAGCGGCGGGCGGGAGGCTGAGTCGTGCTTCGGAAGAGGGTAGTGCTTGTTCCCGGGGTCTCGTTTGGGAAGAAGCTGGTGGTTTGGCGCTTTAATCCCCATAAATTGTCACTTTCGTGGAGCTCATGAAAGGAAATCGAAGGGGAAAGCTTAAAAGCAAAGAACTTTATGATTAGGCACCCCAATTTCTGCCTGGTTTATGGACACTGCGTGTGGTTTCTTTCTTCTGGCAGAATTATGGATCCGAGCTTACTGCGGGAGCGCGAGCTCTTCAAGAAGCGGGCCCTCTCCACGCCGGCCGTAGAGAAGCGGCCAGCGCCATCTTCCGACTCCTCGGCTTCCAAGAAGAAGAAGGCAAAGGTAGAGCAGAGCGGCTCGTCGGGCTCCAAACAAGCTACAGGTTGGTGCCCTGCCTGGCAGGGGTTCTGCGTTGCCTGCCTCCCAGCTCTAACCCTCTCCTGTGGATCAGTCTGTCGGTTCCAGGAGCAGCTGTGATTGTTCTTGCTCTCGAATTCTCACTTCCCAGTGAGAAATTCATTTATGTGATAGGAAAAAACCTTTTTTTTCCTTTCTTTCTTTGTTATCGCCTATATAGGTCAGGCCTTGTTCTGTGTTTTGCCTGCTGTTAGTGAGTTGCAGGAAGGGTTACTGCCAAAACATTGCTTTAAGCTGGACTTTGGTTTGTGAATATCAATGAATGCTGGATCGCATAAGATAACTAGTTATAGCCACTCCTTCCCCCTTCCCAATTTGGCAAGAGGGAGTTAAAATTAAAACTTATTTCTATAGACTGAAAGTCCTAGACTGGCCCAAGGTAGATTCTTTAATTTTGTCCTCCTCAACATACTGGGATTAGCAATTATTCTTGTTTTATCTGAGAATAAGTCTTCGCTCATAAATACTTAAACTTCTGCAGGTTTCTGTTGCTTTAATTAGGAATTTGATCATTTGCTCTTCTCTTTGCTCTTCTCAATTAGGAGTTTGATCGTTTGCTCTTCTCATTGGTGGCCAGTGACAGGACAAGGGGAAATGGGTATAAGTTGAAACACAGGAAGTTCCATCTTCAGCTGAGGAGGAACTTCTTCACTGTGAGGGTGCCAGAGCCCTGGAACAGGCTGCCCAGAGAGGCTGTGGAGCCTCCTTCTCTGGAGGCCTTCCAAACCCGCCTGGATGCCGCCCTGTGCCCCATGCTCTGGGTGTCCCTGCTTGAGCAGGAGGGTTGGGCTACATGATCTCTAGAGGTGCCTTCCAACCTTGAACATTATGTGATTTTGCTTCCCTAGCATGGTGACGCTGGCAGCAAATGTCTCGGTATTAAATCCGCAATTAATAAATCAACACTGAAATATCTCTGAGTGAATGAGAAGTGCAGGAGGTGGAGCAGTAGGAAACAGACTTTCAGCCTTCAGCTTGGAGGTCTCGTGAAAAGTTCTCTGAAAACGTGGGTTTTTTCACGCACTCCAAAAGAGAAAAGTCAGGAACGACTAAAACAGAAAACATGCTGCTGAGCACGTGTCTGTTGCACGCGCTTCTTGATACTGTGTGTGACTCTGCTGAAGTCAGAAAGGAAACGAGACAGCAGGGAAGAGTGTCAGGGACAATGGGAGGAGAGGAGCAGCTTTGTCACTGCTGAAGAAAGGGTAAGCAGGTGACAGACATTCAGCGTAGGGCACCAAATGGTGTTTTCAGCCAGGCACTTGACAGTAAATAAAGATACTTTTCCACAACAACTGTATGTCTTCTTTGCAACTTGGACAGTGCCCCACTGGGAGGCCAGGTTTCCCTCAGCTGCTTTGCCCCAGTACCATCAACTAAGTAGAATAAAGTCTCATATGGAGTAACTTAACCCGTTTATCCCATCCAAGAGGGAGGCAGGAAAAGGGCAGGCAGCTTAAATGCAACTCTGAGTAGGGAATTTGGGTAGAGATGTGGCCAACCAGCTGGGTAGATAAAGAAGATGTTATTTCTTTTCTGTGGTTTTGTGGGCTGTGTGTGTGAGTGCTTTTGCAGTAATAATTAGCTTAATAGAAGTAAAATTGTGGAGCTGTGAGGAAACAGGCTTTATTTTTTATGCTGCTGGCTTCATTTCACTTAACTTTAGAAAGATTTCAGGGTTTGTATAATACTTTGCGTGGAATGAATGTGGTCTCCTTTGGGTTTTCTCCTTTTGGGTTTCCTTGAAGAGCATATGCTGACGTCTACAGAAGCAGCAAGGATGCAAGAAAAATAACAAGAGTGAGTAAACTGAACTTCTCCTTAGGAATTGTTTCAGAAAGGATGTTGAGATTTAAACGTGGGGCATCACAGGGTGATTTTACTGCTGGTGGCAGTTTTGCTCGTTCTGAGCATGGATAGAGATCCTGAATCATTACCAGTTTTATGTTAAAGCTGATTTCAAACTTCAGATTCTCAGTTCTTTTCTTTGCCCAAGTCCTTTGGTCCAAAACCTGCATTTTCTTTGAATCGCCAGATTGCTAGGCACGTGTAAGCATATGCACGTAGTAAAGATGCATCTCTGGGAAACAGAGTAAAAAATGCTGTTGGGAAGAATGTCCCTCCCGCTTCCCCTTGAGAAGAAATGAAAATTAGGAGGATATTCCCTAGTTTTGCTGTGGAGTGACTGTGAAGATTGCAACTATATCACAAGATACAGTGCTGCGTTCAGAAGTGTTGTGGCTACTTCTGTTTGGCCACTAGTCAGTTTTCTTTTCCTAGGAATATATATATATATGTATAAATATATGCACACACACACACACAATTAAATTCTTTATCTTACAAACCATTCTAGTTTGCTGAGGATGTTTCTTGCTGGTTTCCTGCTCTGTGTAACCAGGAGCATGTGCAACTTCTTGGCCAGTGGTTGGGCAGCCGTGCCGTTGTATTACAGTGGTTATTTGTAACTGCAAAACTGTTTTTCTTCTATTACTTTGCCTCATCTCTAGCTTTTAAAACTAATCTGGTGAAAGAGAGGTAAAAAATGATGGTTCAAGCATAGCACAGTCCCTTTCTTGATTGTGTGTGTGAAGTCTGGGACACATTTACAGGTTATTGGAATATGTTGAGATTCTCTTGTGGAATAGGAGATATCCAGCCTGTCTTAACTTGCTCAAATGAGGAGCAATGGCCAAGTAACTTGTAAAGCACAAGAGAAGATAATTCGGGACCCAAAGACACCAGTGTGTTGGTTGCTAGAGGCCTGGAGGCAGAAAGATGCTTCAGATTTCTTTTAGATCATGCTCTCAGGTCTGTATGCTCCTGTGCAAGTAATAGGGTAGCCTTAAGCTCATCTGTTGCTGCTTTTAGTATCCAGAAACTGATAAACGGGTTGAATATGAAGTTGGTGGAAAGCTGTTCTCCGGGCTGCGGGGAGAAGGGGTCATGTCTTAGTGCAGAGCATCAGAAAAGTCTAACGTTTTGGGGGATGGACTTCATGCTGGCTTACTTATCCCCCACCTTTCTCTGTTCCTAAAGCCAAGAAACTGGAATAAGAGCTGCTGAAGATGAGAATTCATGGAAACCTCTTCTGTCTCCTGCTTTCAAACCCTCCTATCGATCTACTTTTTTCCCCTCTCTCTTTATGTGTCTGTCTTGTCTCTGTAGCATTGACCTCAGTGGGAGAACGAGGCTGTGTCTTTGTGTGTTATTAGATTGCTGAGCAACTTTATAAAACATTTTCTCCTACTAAACAACACTTTTAGGCACTCACAGCAACATTTGTTGGTTCAGATAAGCAAATCCAGTAATTCAGTATAAACAACAAATTCATTTAAAAACAAAAAGGTTTTCTTTCCCCATGACACTGCAACACATCATCCTTTTGCACTCAAAAAGCCTTTGCAGATTATTCAAGTTCACATCCAGAAATTAAATAGTAACTGTTGCTATTAATTATATTTAAGGAGAAGAAAAGGAAAAGCACGTGACTGCTCATTTATCAGATTCAAGAGGCTTCCCTGGAGGTGTTAAATGTTCGAGGTGTTGGTCAGTCCTTCCTACACCACTTCGGCTTCGCGCTTTCTGAAGCTCTCCATCATGGCTCTGACAGGATTGGGTTCATTCTCCAGGTCTTTGACAGTTTTATTTTTCACGCAGCAGCAACAGTCTAGCAGCTCATAGAGGAAAGCCAACACCACCAGCGAAACCACAGTAAAGATAAATATAATCAAAATAATGAAGCAGGCCGTGTTCCAGTTATCATGGAAAGGGTAAATTTTTTGCACTTGGAAGCCCAGGTATTGGTAAATGGATGTAGTCTCGTTCCAGTGGGTGGTGTTGAAGGTGGCCATTCCTGCAGGGTCCTCTTGCTGTGTTTGGATGTCTGGGATTTGGGGGCTGAAGAAGAAAGCAAAGCTGTTGAGAACTGTTAAAACTGTTAAAAACATATGGAGCCTTTAGGCGACGCGTAGCAGCGAGGAGCACTTGGCCAACCCTCCGGCTTCGTGGAGCCCGTCACCACCAGGCAATCTGCACGAGGTGCTTTTGGCAGCTCAGGCACCCTAGAAAATGGGGCCTTTTGGGGAGGGGACAGATGCAGAGGCAACCAAACTCTTAGTTCCATGTCTGACTTCTGCTTTGTATGTAAAGCAAGAACTGAAAGTATCTATTTAAACTTTTGTTTGTTTGTTTTCACTAGAAACTTGCTTTCCTGGCTACCCATATGCAACTTAATTTTGCCTTTTTCAATATTGCAGTAGTCAGCCCTACGGAGCAAAGGGGCACACTGATGGCTCGGTTACTAAACGAACCCTCGGATAATACTAGGAACCTTGAACGTCATAGAAATAATTCTGTCCAGTACTTTTGGGACGTAAAACCCACAAAATGCCTAAACAAATGAGAAGTGACAAAGGAGAAGTGCAATGGTGCCTGCTTGCACGGATTACTTAAGGAATTTTTAAATAGTGGTGTTATTAAGGTATGGTATGAAAGCAGAACGATGCAGCCAAAGCAGCTGCTGATGTAGGTCTCGGTATTGCTCAAATATTGTGCCTTTTGTCTGTTGTTCATCTTGAATGTATTGAAATAGATTTGGCCCTGTTGGTGGGAAGAGAAACCAAGGTAGGATTTGTGGTGCAGAGGAGTTCTGGAGGAGTAATGTAACGTGTTGTTTCCTTTGTTAAATCTGGGCCCCAGGATAAAGGAATGGAGTATGAGAAATGGGGATGAGATGGGTAGATTTGTCTGTCCTTCTTTAAGCATTTACAGAGCAAATCCACCTTAAAAGTACTACAGAAAGCAGATCATCCGGGGCTTTGGAATTTTGCTTGCTTTGTAAGCATGCAGGAAAAATACTCTTGATGCGTCTCGCTAAAATTCAGCGTTCTAGTCGGGAAAAGAAACAGGGATTTGGGGCAAAGCAGGGGGCCAGGCTCGTTCCCGCTGCGTAGCGCAGACCTCCCCGGCTGTGCCCTCTGGGAGGAGGTTGATCGTGGCCTGGAGAGCAGGCCGAGGCTGCGCGGGCAGGGGGGCTGCCCTTGGGTCAGGGCTTTGCACGGGGAAGCGCCGCCCGCTCCTGCGGCGAGAGGCCGCTGGTGGCGGCCGGGCCCAAGGTGGTTCAGTGCCCCCCAAAGATGCGACCCCCCGCCTTGGATTGGAGGCGCACAGATAAATAGCAGCGCCCTGTGTTAGCTGAACTGCTAAACCACGAGGCTGGAGCAGCCATTCCCGAGCCTCGCTGCCCCTCGGGAGGCCCGCGCCCGTGGAAGCTGCCGGAGAGAGCCGTGGTTCGTGCCGTTTTACCCGTTAAAATGGCATAATTGAGGTACGTTTTGTGAGCCCGTTGGGTTTGTGCTTTTCGGCTGTTGTACGTGTCCAAAATGCAGCGCCCTACCCAGTGAATGACCTGGATTCGGCAACTTCCGTATTAGGCTCGAAATTAAAAGCATCTTATTCTTTGGAGGCAGGTTTATTTGAGATGATGTTCTTGGAGCAGGGGGAAATGACGAGCAAAAAAAAAAAAAAAAAAAGAAATCATTTTGATGCAATGCTGAGGAAATCCTGTATAAGAAATGATGGAGTGGACATTTTGGGGTAACAGCATTTACACAGCCCACGTGAATTCTGACCTGTTAATGCTGATTGATCCTTGCTGTAACGTTCACAAGGATAATGGGCACTAAGGATTTTTTTCCAATCCACAAGCATACGGCCCTTGTAGGGAATTTAGCAGATGAGGCTTAAAAATGAACATGTTGGGAGACATAATTCTGAATTTTCGGTGCTTTCTTTCCCCTCCCCCGCCCTTTTTTCTTGGAAAATGCTTCTATTATGTTTTCCTTAATACAGAATAAATGACTAGAAATGTGGGGCTATCGGGGTGGGAACGCTGCCTCGCTATAAGCCTTAAATCCGTTTTGTTCCCTGCCCGTTGCCTCGCGTGCGTCAGCTGCTCACGGAAGATGGAGGGGTCGCCAGCCTCCCATCTGTGCGAGGGAGCAGCGAGACAAGCTCCTCCGTGCTGAGCTCCACAACCCCCTGCGAAATCCAGAGGAAGGAGGGCAAACCAAAACCCCAGCGCCCTGATCCCAAGGGGCTTTTTACAGCTAGGGGCACACGTTATTTCGGGAAGGGAGCCCCGAGCGAAGGCGGCGCTGGGGGACGCGAGGCACCTACCTCTCCTTTGAAGGGATGCTCCTCCGTGCCCCTTTCCTCGCGCACGCTCCGCTCGGCTGACATGGAGCCTTCCCACTATTGGCCGCAGCGCCGGGCTGCTGACAACTTCCTTTCGGCTCATTTGCATCCAGCCCTTGGTCGGAAAACTGGAAGCCGGCTCTTCCCGCTTCCTATTTTTCGGCGTTCCCTTTTTGTATGAGCCTTCTGCAGCCTCCCCCTTAGTTAAGGGCTTACATTTAATTGCTGTTTCTTACCTCTTCACTGTTTTTTTCACAGAAATAGTAGGTAGCTACTGTGTTGTTGTAGCTCCTGATGAGATAGTTACTGCGCTGTCCAGCTGGATTAGAAATTGTCAAACTATGAAGAGAACTTCCCCTGATGGTTGTGCAGACCAGTACCTGTCCAGTATCAACTTGTTTGTCAACGAGGAGTCCTCTGAGAGTTACCATTTCTGCTCATAGTTCTGCAGGGTCGTGGAAGAAGAGAATAAAAGGGACAGAGTATAGGGACAAAAGGGGTTGTTGAAATCCTCGATTATTTGTGTCGGGAGAGCAAGGTGGTGTCGAAATGCTCATTTATTTGTCTGTTTTCTCCTCTCGCAGATCACACCAATGGGTCATTTAACTTGAAAGCCCTGTCAGGAGGCTCAGGCTACAAGTTTGGAGTCCTTGCAAAAATAGTGAATTATATGAAGGTATGATGATTTGATTGCCTAGTGTAATGTTTTGAAACATTTTAATTATTTCTTGTGCAGTACAGAAGATCCCAAATGTTGTAGACTCTGCAGGAACACAAGAATTTAAAAGACTTGTTAAATACAGCATGTCAGCAAACAAAGTGGCCAGCAGACAGTTTCATTATGAAGTCCCAATGATTCTTTTAAAACCAGGAGGGTGCTTTTTACTTGTAGGAAAAAGTAGCAACTGGGAGAATCTGTCAGTGTTTAGTATTCATGAGCTACGTATCAGAATAACTTGAAATTTGGTGATTTGCGGATGACTTGGCGTCTTCAATCTCACCTTCTACTAACCTAGTGTTTTTCCTTATTCTTAAGACCCCTAAATAGTTATTCGTATGTTCTTCATATATTATTCCTCTTTACCTATGCATATTGTAACCCTCCTGGGTTAGTAGAAGTTACTTTGTTATTAAATTATACCCATAGTAGCTGTTTCACCAGAACGTAGTCCCCGAAGGAGTAGAGAGCTCTGAGATGCTGTTTCTTCTTCCAGACTCGACACCAGCGTGGCGATACACATCCATTAACCCTAGAAGAAATTTTGGATGAAACGCAGCATTTAGATATTGGGCTGAAGCAGAAACAATGGTTAATGAGCGAGGTAAGCACACGCTGGTCCATTTTAAATGGACATCAAGGAAATACGCTGAGCCTGAGTATTTGTTCAACTGCAAACTCTATAAAAAGGTTCTGCTTTAAGAAAGTGCTTGATTTATGTGTCTGTCTTTTCTGCTGTGGAGGTAGGTCTAAAGTGAAAACTCTTTTGCCCCTTTAAAGGCTCGACCTGAGTTGTTGCACAATGAGTAATTTTGGTGTAAAGCGAGTTTGTTTATTGCTGATATCAGAGTTTGATTGGTTGGTGGCACTTGATAGTCACCCAAAGGCTGCAGTTTTGTACTCCCTGTTGTTTCTATTCCCATCCCTTTCTCAACGGGGAGCATGTGTGGCTTTCTGCCATAAGGTAAGAGCCTTTGTGGACCTTCCAGCCAAAACCATTATGTCAACGGTGCTGAACCTACTTTGGGCTTTATTCTGTGGGGAATTTTGCCAAGGTCACGTCTGAGGTTCTGCATTAAAATCTAATTCCAACTCAACCCTCCAAGCTGACACCTGCAACATGTGGCTGTCATTGCTGGTACCAACACGTGCTCTTTTCTCCAGGCCTAAAATTTACATTCCTGTTCCAGGCTTTAGTCAACAATCCCAAAATAGAAGTCGTAGATGGAAAGTATGCTTTCAAACCCAAGTACAACTTGAAAGACAAAAAGGCTCTGCTCAGGCTGTTAGACAAGCATGACCAGCGAGGCCTGGGAGGAATCCTTCTGGAAGATATTGAGGAAGGGCTTCCCAATGCACAGAAAGCCATAAAGGTGAGTAACACTTGCTCACCCTTCAGTGAAATTGTATTTCCCAGGGTCTGATGTTGTAGCATTTCCCTTGCTTCATCCTGTGTATTAAGATTTGTCCTGATTTCTTGCCAAACTGGCAAAGCTGCCTCTTACAAAACCTTCTTCATCTCCTCTATTCCAACTCTGGGCATTTAGTTGTGCTTTTAGACACATTGATCTCAGCCCTGTGCATCTCATCTCTGTTTTAATAGTGTATTTATCATCCTTAATGCCTTTCAGAAGCTTTTAAGTGCAAGTTGCATTGCCACTTCTCTAGGTGAGGTTGGAATCCTTTATGCCCTCTGCAGATCTGATTTAATTACCTATTTTAAATATGCTGTATTTAACAGCAGAGCTTGCAGGTAGCAAGATAGGAGCTGTCCCTTTTTGGGTTTTGCAACCTTTAATAAACACCTTTTCATAGTTGCAGACAGTTGCATTTTCCTTTTGAAATGCTTATCAACCTTTCTGTTTCATTTTCTTTACATCAATGCATTTATCTCCAGTAGGATATGTAGAAAGTGATTTTGAGCTGCTCTTTTACATGTTTTATGGAGGCTTTAGGGGACCAGATCATCTTTGTTAATCGCCCTGATAAGAAGAAAATTCTTTTCTACAACGACAAGAGCTGCCAGTTTACTGTGGATGAAGGTAGGTGTTTCTTTACATCCATTTCCACGATAAATGCTTTGGGTTCTCCTCATCACCTGTATATGTAAGCAGTCTTTATGGAGAGCAGTGTTTTGATTTGGTAAAGAAATATGAGGTGTAGTCCGTATTCTTAGCACAAAGGCTTAACATTAGCATGAGTCTAGTAAGACTAGCGGGTGAGTGCAGGGGTGGTGTCATCTCTGCACCAAAATAGATACATGGCACAAGAAATCCAAGATTTCTTTTAAAGCAAAACAGTACAGAAGAGAGTGAAAATCAGTGGAGTGGTAGCCAAAAGCATGGAAGTGCCTTCTGAGCGTGGATTTGCTGCTCTTTTCCAGTTTGTTTATTGATCGTATTCCTTTCATCAGTAAACGTGGTGAGGAACAGGAGATGAAACGGTAGGAGCAGGCAAAGAGGTGGGAGCAAAATTATCGAGAAGGGCTGTTTTGCAGCTCAGAGGGAAGTGGGGATGTGGGGAATAATGTTGCTGCCCGGAACTGGGGATGCTGGACTCCAGGCTTTGAGCATGTGTTTGCTGACAAATAACTCTGAATCTTGGCCCCAAAGCCCATTTTATTAAAAGGTTTAGCAAGAAAAATCTGCAGAGTCTTTAACAGATACCTTGGAATTTAACTTACCGTTATCTGTGGCAGACCTGTGTTTAGGAGCAAGCAGTGCAGGCCGTGCTTATGGACAAGGGGAAAAAGGTTAAATTAAGCCCCCCACAACGAGTTTAAGCCCTGTGGCTCCGGCGTTCAACGCCAAGGTGCTGGTGACGGGGACGTGGATGCCAGGCCGCTTTGCTTGCTCTCCTCCACAGGTGGCAGCACGTTCCCGTCTCATCGCCGAGGGATGTCCCAGCTCCATGCCTGCCCTTTCTGCTTCGCCTTATAAGACGATTTTTGTCCTGAAATGGGGCAGAATACTCTCTCCTCCCTGAATCTTCTTAGCTGCCTGCGCGCGTCACGTCCCCGAGTGGGTTCACTCGCTCGTGCAGGCTGCAATGGGGCTTTTCTTCCCTTTTTTTTACAACCTCGTTGTTGGGGAGTGCGTTTGCTTTGGATTCGTTGCAGGGCGCATCTCCCGGGGAGCCGGGGGCAGATGTGTCTGCGAGCAGGAGGAGCTGTGACACGCTCCTGCAGTAGCGGTGCTGTTCCAGCTCATTATCCCCTGCAACGCTCAAACTGCCTTTTCAGAAGGCTGCAAAATAAGCCTTGAAGTGTTGTCAGACTCTTTGATCTGGCAGCCCGTGACAGTTCAAAATGTTTCTAGCTTTATGTTCATCTGAAGGAGAGAATAACAAAAGGGGCTGCACGCTCCTCAGTGCATGATTCTGCCGTATGACACACTACAGTTTTAAACATATGCTGTCTGGAATTAATGTCCTCCAGGAGCTAGGCATCCTCTTCTGTCACTGCCTGAGTAGTCGCTGGAGGAGAAAGGAGCTGGGGCAACTTGGAGGCTGATGCTTGAAGCTCTAGAAGGGATTTCCCTCTGGCAGTGCCTATCTCTGCACTGACTGCAGTTGTCCTGATGGCTGAACAAGCAAGCTCGTCGGTCTCCCTTTTTGGAAAGAGACCCCGAGCGACTTACCAGCATGCTATATCGCGATGCTAAGCATGCTGGAGAAGGTATTTGTAGTAAGGAGGGGCTTTGGCCCTTCGTTTTAATGGGATTAGCCAAAGTAGGCGCAGGTGGCGCGTGTTCCTCCTTGGCTTCCCGACTAGTGAATCCATGCTCAGCTCAGGGGCGGCGGAAGGGGCTGTAAAAGCCGGGCTCGGTGTCCGGAGCGTGAGCCTGGCCGAGGCGGGGCCGGGCGCCCCGCGTGCGACTCGAGCTCGCTCCGTGCTGAGGGGCCGCTCCGGCTGCCTCGCCGCCCGGGGAGCCTTTCACATCTCAGCATGGAAAGCACTGCAACGCTGGGGAAAAAAGGTCATTTAGTCACATTAGCATTTTCTTAATGCTTCTCCGAAGCACCTTTTGAAGAGGTTTCAGGAATGGCCGCAGCGTCTTAAGGCTAAAAGCGGGAAACATCCTTGGGGTCGGCCGAGTTACGGGAACGCAGGCAGCCGGAGCGCGTCCTGGTGTGTGGCCAGAACAGGCCAGCACGTGGCAGCTCTAGCCCTGCAGAGGTACCAGGCTCTCTGCCTTGTCCACAGACAGAAGGAAAGAGCTCACATTAAAAAAAAAAAAAAATGGTATTTTGAGAGCATCCTGTTGGAAAGGCCTCCCGTCACCCTATGTCTCCTCCCTGGCCCGCTGCACCCACCTAGAATCCCATTCCAGAGGTAGAGGAGGACAGTGGGTCTTCAAGTGCTATTTCTACTTTACTTTACAGGCCCCTGTCACAACACTGCTCCT